CAATGCAGTATGGTTCTATGTTACCGTATTTTCTCCAGCCTGGCTTCAAAGCCCTCAAGACTTCGGGCTTCTACTTAGTTTCTTGCAATGCCATTCTACAAGCAAAAAGACCTTGCTGATAGAAAATATCAACTGTTTCCCTTTGCTATGGGATCTGACCTGTAGCCAGTATGGTGTTGATGTGTAGATTGTTTTTTACCTGTGTAACTTTTATTCTTCTCTATTTATTAACTACAACATCATCCCATAAATACTGCACCTTTTACAAGCAATGCTTCCTTCAAGCCACAGAGAAATGGCTCCACTGTTTTTAGTTATGAAAGCATGACATACTGAGAAATCACTCACCTGGAGATACATAAGAGTGTGGCTTTCTGATGTATATCTACAATAACTGCTTTCTGATAAGACATGAAATCCTTCATTTCAGTAGATGACATGATTCTAGTGGGTGGCATCTAATTTGAAACAGGTTTATATCATCTGTAATCTTTTGGAGGACCTGGGAAAGCACAGCTATTTTATTACTTTATAGCCTACAGTTATACAAGCAAGATATAAAATGCTCTGATTATTTTCCCTTTGGCTCATTGTAGAGGGAAGGGAAAGTACCTATTTAGCCCTTGTCTCCATCTCCTTTAATTTTCTTATTCACTGCACACCTCTTCCAGATTCACTCCTCCCCTATATCCCCTCCCCACACTTTTAAATATTTTATAGATAGAGAGCTTATAATATGTATTGTCACGGCAGCTGTCTCTAGAGGTCAGCAATGAGTTTCATAATGAGATGCGAACCAGTGACTCTGTAAAACCCATTTCAGGTTATAAATGGCATGTTTTATTGAATCTAGTGTTAAAGGTTGCTCACGTATCAATTGGTGATGGCCAGGGTTAAGCAAGCTTCAACATGAGCGCACTCAAGTAAGGAAACTGACAGGGTAACTCATTTAACCACATTTTTCTTTCCAAATGTCCTGGTTTCATATTTTGTACCCACCTTCCTCCAGATGCCCTCCAAGTTATTCTCACAAGGCTGATTCTCATTTCCTGCTGTCTGGCCCTAATGTAACTCTATTGAGTACAATGACATTACTCCTGATTTAAGGAGAGACTCCGGCCTACCATTTTGATTGAGAAATTTGGAAGTTAGGTGTGAACCACAGTCAGGGCTGAGCCATGAGTAGCACTGTTAATTTCTTTGTAAAAAGGACACACTAATGGCATAACAGCAACTCAGTGGGAATTACGGGCTATGATGAAAGTTAGAAAGTGGGTGTGGTGCTCTCTTTTATGGGACAAGCTTCTGTTGGTGAGAGAGACAAGCTTTCGAGCCAGACAGGGCTCTTCTTCAAACCGAGTATCAGCAAACTCTTCAGAATAGGTTTTAGGGAAAAGGCTCTGGGAGAAAAGATTAATTTGTTAGGGTTAACCTACTTCTACCAGACTAGAATTATCTGTTTTGTTTTATTTTTAACCGTATTGGTTTCTGTTCTCTTTGTCTAGCATCTCTGTTCTTTATCTCTGTGTTTTACCATAAAACCTCTTGGTGTGATTCCTTAGCTTCGTGAACAGGCTGGCGTATGTACTGCCAGAGCCCTGTGTGGATACAAATTTCTGTCCTCGGACAGATAGCTGGATAGCCGCAGATAGATATCGGTATCCGCAGAACTTCAGGGCTCTGTGCCTGAGAACTTCAGAGGCCAAAGGAGAAAAATATGATGCTACAGCTCCCAGTTGCCACCGCCTCATGCCTGCCGCTCCTCTCAGCCATGTGGCTGTTCCACCCTCTAGCCTCATCCTCAGTGAAGGTACAACCCCAGATAGGAGACGAGGCTAGGAGCACTACAGCTTCCTGGCCAGGAGGAGCTGCCTGGGAATGTCAGCACCATGTTCTTCTCATTTGGCTTCTGTGATTCTCAGGAATAGAGCCCTGCAGTTTTGCAGATACCACTTTCTATCTGCGGCAGTCCGCATGTGCAGATAGAAATTTGTGTCCTTGCCAGGCTCTACATGCTGTTGCTTTGGAGACAGCAGACTTGGTCATTTTTAAGGGTTCAGTAACAGGAGCTGGACATTGGTGAGAAATGTGTTTCCAGGATGTTCAAGAACTAGGGTGCAAGCAAGATATGGTAAAAGCCGGCAGAACTTTAGAGAAAATTGTAATAGGCCTGGGTGACAGGGAACCATCACATAGTGGAGCTGCAGCAAGTACTTCTTTTGCTAAGGCAGAGGGTAATAAGGCCACCCATAGTTCCAGGGTCCCTGGGAAAAAAAATGTTGGTGATAAAGTGGCAGATGATGATGACTTTTTGGTGGTAGCTACTACAAAGAATATTTTCCTTATGAGCTTAATCCAGAGTTGACCTCTAAGGTGAAAAAAGAGTCTTCATTTTAGAACCATAAATGTACAGAAATTACAGCTGGGACCAGTTCTCGTCTAGATCAATCTTAGCTAGTGTAGTATTAAACGAAGCGTATACACAGGAATGATAGTTTGATTCCCCATTTAGTATAACTGGGGGTGGGGGTTGGGTTTCCATGACTGCGTGTTTTCAATCATAACCCAAGCAATGCTAATTCCAGCACTTCCCTTAGGAGACTTTCAAACAGCCCAATTGACCTTAATGCCAGACAATATCTCTGGAACAGCCTATATTTTCCTTTGCTCGTTGTGCCGAGTGACACCCTCTTGCACCACCCTAAAACAATTCCTTTAGCTCATTGATGACTTCAACTTTCAAATGGTCATTTTAGTGAGCTATGCCCCTTTTTTTTTTTTTTTTTAGTTTTTCCATTGATGGGGGTGATGCACTTTCCTACATTCCCATGAACTTAAATTCCCCTGCAGTGCACACAGACATGCAAGATAGAAAAGGGCCTCCCAAAGTCATCTACTCCACCCCCTCCTTCATTAAGGCAGGATTAAGGATACTCTCTTGATACAGGGCTTCACCATCCTTGTAGTTAGAAAGCTTTTTCCTAATATCGAACCTAAATCTCCCTTAATATAGCTGATGTCAAGGTGACAATTAAACATCGGGTAAAAGAGAGAGACATTCTCCTTCTCTAAAAATTAGGTGAAAATCAGGGAGATGGCAGACAGACACTGGGCGGTTAGAGCCTGGTTGGAAAACAAATGAATCAAAGAAAACAGGATCGTTAAAATAAAAGTATTTTACACATCCCAGGGATTACGTGCACCATGTGGCTCTGCCTGTTCCTTAGTGCGTTGTAAGGAATGAAACAGAAGAGGTTTTGCAAGTATTGCAAGGAACGTATTGATTTGTGGGGCCAGGGGACATTCTGAACTTTAAGCAGATTCTATGGAAGATTCACAGTAATGGTCTCTCCTTGCCAAGGAATCCAGCTAGCGCAGGACTGAAAACTAAACACCACCACCAGAAACCAACACATGTGAGTCATTTTCTCTTTCTCTTGGGCTCCACACACATTTGGCGTGACTGTGTGGTTCCTCTCTTCGGCTTAACTGTTGCTTTTTCCAATTCCATATTTGGCATCTTTTTTTTTTTTAAATAAAGCTGGAGTAGCACTTGACAGTTTCAGACAGCACGTTGCATTCGTGGAGTCCTGTAATAGCACAGAGTGTTTAACATGCCTGTTTGGAAAGTGGAGGAATCATTGCAGAAAAGCCCATGGTCCTGATCCTGCAATGAGCTCTGAGTGAGTCTTCAGTGGGGCACTATGTGACTTCAGGTGTCTTTCCCCACTGAAAAATTTGCAGGATCAGTGTCTAAGGCTTTAGAGCAGCAATACAAAATGACCCCTGGTGCAGAGTAGGATTTACACTGAAATTGCCCTGGAAGCTCATCAGAGATATCCTCTTAATAGATGTCAAGTGCAAAAAATGAGTATGTGGTGTAAACTTGGGGGAAAGTTTAAAAAAAAAAAGCCTCAAAAGAAAAGGCACCAGTTTGTAAAGCATTTTCAGGTCAAAAGTCTCGTAGCTGCCCAGGGAATGAAAGATGCAGCATCCCATTTTCCCAGTCTGCCCATTTCAAAAGTCCCTCATGTGCAGCACAGCATGTTAATTGTAATATAAGGCTCCACACAGGAGTTTGCTTATTGCTTCACAGTTACCTTATGAAACTGGTGGAAAAAGAAAAGTGCATTAGGAGTTTTGATGGGGCCAGAATTGTAGCCAATCCTAAGGTGGCTTGCAGCTTGGTGAATGAGTGAGTACAATGTTTTGAAGTATCAGAGGGGTAGCCGTGTTAGTCTGAATCTGCAAAAGCAGCGAGGAGTCCTGTGGCACCTTATAGACTAACTGAAGTATAGGAGCATAAGCATGCATGCATCTGACGAAGTGGGTCTTTGCCCATGAAAGCTTATGCTCCTACACTTCAGTTAGTCTATAAGGTGCCACAGGACTCCTCTTCACTTTTGCAATGTTTTGAAGAACAGGCCAGTCGCTAAGCAAGCAGCAAAGATGGGGACACACGGATCTTTTCCCCTTTGGTACTGGAGGAGTTGTTGTGACACACTTCTTAAATGCAGACCAAAGTTCATTTGTTAAACCAAACAAATCAGGTAGGTTTCTGTTACTACCTGGGAGCTCTTCGATTATTGTAGAGTTTGCTCTCAGTTCTGCTGGTTGTTAACAAACTCAAGAAAAGAAAAGTTATAAGGTGGTAAAACAGAAATGATGCATACCATAAACCAGCAAGGGATGTAACTTGAGGAGTCTTCTGAAACTAAATACAACAAATTAAACCTTATATGAGTCCTGTGGGACCAATACATTTGGGGGGTTTAAGCTTGCCTGTTATAAAATATTCCTTTAACAGTTTACTTTAGTTTAAAAGCCAATATTATGGTATTATTTGAAATTTATATCTTTCTGACTTGCCAGCCTGTTTAATATTGATTGTGTATCGTTTTAGCCCCCAGAGCAGCTAAACTCGGCAGTGCCAATAAAAATAAAATGCTTGACTTTTTGACGGTCTAACCTGCTTTACTGTCTTTTCATTTATATTTTAGATGCATCATCCCATTCAGATGAAACCCGCAGATAGCGAAAAGTCCAATGGTAAGTGGTTATTCTATTTCCTACTTAAAATATGAGCCTGTATATCTCTTTACATTTAAAAAACAAATGCAAAGTATGGCTTTTGCTTTGCTCTTAATATAGTGAAAATCCTTTAAGGAAGTGTCCCTATAGCTAACAGGTCTGAAAAAATGTTGACCTGCTCTGAACTCCCATTTATCTTCAGTTTAAAGAAAGGAGGAAATGTTCCTAGAGAAATGTTCTTTCCTCTCTGCCTTATGTATTTGTTTTGTTGATCTCCTGCTAAAGCACTGGTAGTTTCTTAGCAATCAGTAACATCTGATGCTGATAACAGTCTGAGATTAAAATAACATGGGAGTGAAAAGAGAAGTTTCCATATTCCAGAAAGCATTTAAGCATGTCCGAATTGGACGTAGATATATTCTTTAAGTTAAGCATGTCTTTAAATTCCTTTCCTGAATAAGGATACTTCTTTGAATCCTGACTTGATTTAGAATCAAACTGAATGTTTTCCTCTTAATTATGAGACCGATATTGACTTTTGTTTTACATAGACCTCTCTCAAATACATTTTATGACACTAATATCCATCCAAAATATAGCTTATTGGCTTAGGCATGTATAGGACACGCAAAATATACAGCATGCTAAATGTATAAAATATGTCAGATCCGGCATTAGACAATCTAGGCTTCCTTACTATGTGTTTTGTTTTCAAAAAATCTATATGTCTTTTCCCCCTTGAGTCATTCCTATAATTTACTAAAATATAGGTTGAAGAAATCGCCTTCCTTCTTAAACTACAAGACTTCTTTTCCCCAAAAGGCTGACATAATCACAGCTGGTGCCTTCCAACAGACATCTCTGCACCTCATTAATTAGTAATCAGGGCAGAAGCCATGCACTTAGAGATCTACATATCTGCAAATGTAAATTATGATTGGGCTCTAAATCTCTCCGCAAGGTTTTGCTAATTGTCGTGCATCCCATTTTTAGCTTTCTCCACAGACTGTGAAGTTTAGAAGGAAATTAAAACTTTGCACTGTGTTTCTCTCCGTATCTACGGACAGCTTTAGAAGCTGCCCAGGTGCCCAGTGGAATTGGGCTGACCCCTTTGTGAAATGGTATGAAGAACTCACTCTTCTGTTGGAGAGTTGCTCACCGAACATAAACCAAAAAAGCACTCATTACTAGGCACAAAGACATCACTCTTGTTTGGATGCTTAGCAGAAAGGCCAAATAGTCTGAGAGCATTGAGACTGGACAAAATCCTAGCCTCATTGAAATAACTGGGAGTTTTCTCACTGACTTCCACTCCCTGTATTTATCATGCTCTCAGTGGATGATTTTTCTATTCTGCATGGGTGTTGCGCAAGACCCTATGGACTAATTAAGTCCAGCATAAGTCCCACACGAGCCCTTCGACATAGGGTAAATTTCACTCTAAAATCTCATGATCAAAATACAAGTGTAATAAACAATTGACAAAAATGGACTGCCCCCCATCTCTAAGACATGTCCATCTAGAACAAGACTGAAGCATGTTGCCAAGTCACTATAGGGAATTTTGCAGTTCCTGAATCTATACTGTGCATAAAAGCCTTGCTTTCCAAAGCATTCTCCTGCACCTTTCACCAGCACTGAATACATCAAAGTTCCTTTTTTCCCCTTCAAAAGTTTTCCAGATTTTGGGAGAAGGCACAGAAGTCCAGATTGAACAAAGGAAAGGAAGGAGGCGGAGTTGCCTCCTTCAGATTAATCTTCTGGAGAAAAGCAAATGATGTCTCATTTTCATATGCACATTTAGAATGTGGAGAAGACTCTGTCTTTGAAGCCGGAGAGGAAAGCTACTGCTATGGTGATCAATGTAGCATAACACCTCAGAGATACAGGAAATGGGATGAGAGCCAGAGAGTGGGAGGTGAGCTAGAGGTTTCACAGCTAGACTGGTGCAATGCAGATGAACAGCTGTTATCTGTTGGCCACTGAGCGAGCAACAGAAGAAGGGTTTGTGTTGGTGCCAACATCAGCAGGGCACATGAAAAAGGGTCCGAAGGAGGAGAGACAAGTCTGGGGAAGAGATCAAGAGCTAGCTGAGGCAGGTTGGTCTTTGTGATGAGTAGTGTTTTAGCATTTGTGGGGAATGCTTGAAACCAAGGTTCCCTCTAAGCTTCTCCATAGCACAGCCAGGCAGCTGCTTAATAAGCCCCGCCCACAGAGCTGCCTGGCTGGGGGCTGAGGACAGAGCTGCGAGTCTCTCCCAGCCCATAGGGACAAGTCCACCTAAAACAAGACTGATGTGCCAATGCGCTTTAGCCTTGTTCTAGGACAAGACATGCTTAGAGGGAACCTTGATTGAAACCCTTTGAACTCTCACCATAGAAACAATGCATCAGAACTGAATGGTCCCGCTGGTTTTACTCATAACCAGAACTGCTAAACATTCAAAGAGCTTGGAGGCTTCTGTTGACCAAAAGTTCCACGTAGCTTGTAAATAGATACCAAAAAACAATAATAAGCGCAGAGAGGCAGTTCTCTTGAGTATACGGGTAGGGCTGATGAGACCCAATGATGTTTGATATGAGACCTGATGTTCCCCAGCAAATGTTACAGGCTTTCTAAGACTCAGCATTTGCTGAGTGACAGTGTTGGCAATCCTATTGAGCTGGATGAGCTGGTCTGACCAGTCTAGACTCAAAACTCAAAAAAAGTTCTTCCTTCCCGAAGATGAAGTATACAGTATACGGAGCTCATAAACATATAGAATTAGAGGCCAGAAGAGGCCATTGTATCTTCTAGTCTGCTCTTCTGTATATCACTCAATATTGAGCCCAAGAGCAAGAGGTGACCAGTCTAAAGGTGAAGATCTTAAGAGGCTATTAGCCAGGGGATAAAATGGTGTCCTTGGCCTCTGTTTGTCAGAGGCTGGAGAGGGATGGCAGGAGACAAATCACTTGATCATTGTCTTCTGTCCACCCTCTCTGGGGCACCTGGTGTTGGCCACTGTCGGCAGACAGGATACTGGGCTAGATGGACCTTTGGTCTGACCCAGTATGGCTGTTCTTATGTTCTTATAAGATGGAAAATCCGCCATTTCCCTTGATAGCTTGCACCAGTATCAGTCACCCTCTTTTAAATATTTGGGTGCTTTGCTCTAATCCATGAAAACATTCAGACACTTGCTTGAGCTTTAGTAGTCAATGGAACTTATTAACATGTTTGAAGTTAAGCACATACTTAAGTGCTTTGGTGGCTGATGAACGTGCCTTCCATTAACATTCATGATGGTCCTCAGGCAGATGTTCTGAGGACAGCATACCCCTGTATTTCTAAAATGCCAACACTTTGGAGAAACCAAGAAAAACAAAAGGGAACCATGAGGCATTATTCTGGACTTACTGGCTGATGCACTGAAAGGATGAAGAAATGGTTTTCAGAATCCTAAGTGGCGAAACTTGCAGATTTGGAAGCAGTAATTAAATGCCATATGTCAGCACTAACACATAGAAAAGTTGTTAATTAATTCAGGCAGTTCCAGATACAGGTGTGACTTTGACAGATTGTATGCTAAGGTTTTTCGCTGGCGTACAAATAAGGATAAAAAAAATATTTTTCCCTCCCTTCTGGGGAAAAATATTCTATTTAAATAATTAACCCTTACTTGATTGGCTTAAAACAGAGGGCAACTTATTCTGAGAAGGAAATTGTGTTCTGGATATATTTAGAGATTATAATGTCACTAATTTCAGAGGACATTGCCATATATATTTACAGCAGAATTGTAGCTTCAAGGAGGAATGAGAAAAGTTTATCAAACCATCAGCATTTTTCATTATATTTGTAATTGTTGTGTAAGCATTGTTCTGTAGTGCTGTGATCCCCAAAACAGCCCGTGATTTTAACATGTGAGCATCTATAATAGAAATGATGGCGTGGGACCAGAGAAGTGAAAAGGATCCATCAGATTTCACTGTCCAAGTAAATTGAGTGAAGTGTAAAAATCAGACATTAAAGCCTTTATTGGTCAATTCAGTGAGTTCACTGGGGCTGCTCATGGGCTCCACCCAGGTAGATACAACATCAGGATTGGTCCAATATACACTTTTATAGGGCTTGATTCACTGGTACACTCTAGCTGCTTTGTCCTGTTCCGGCCATGCAAAGCAGCCATATATCTGTTAACTGTCTGATTATATCGGCTTGCATCTGTTTTACACTGTCAAAATAGTGCAAAGCCAAAAAGCAGCATTTAAAACAAAATCCACGCATCAGAACCACCTCCCCACCCCCCAAAAAGTGATATAAATAAATATTTTTTTAAAAATTATGCTTTATGGTCTGACTTCTGATTATTGAACTGTTCCTGCCCACCCCAAATGTGGGTGGGTGGCAATGACAGGATGAAACTGAAACCTGAGAAATGGGAGGCAGTGTTGCCTACTGGTTTGGGCACTGATCTGGCCCTCGGAAAACCTGGTTCTACCTGGTGCTACCGCTGGTTTGCTGAGTGACCAAAGGCAAATCAGTTCCCCCTCTCCATGCTTCAGTTTCCCTGTCTATAAAATAGGGATAATGAAGCTGACCTCCTTTGTATAGAAGATTGAAAACCCCTCTTATGCTCTCCACTGGCTTCCAGAGCGGATTCTTGTCTCTTACCTGCATGGGTTGGGGCTTTCTCTGCGCTCTCATCTCCATTAACTCTCCATCTTCTAGCACAACGGTGTGAGGTAAGGCCACTGCTGCCAAGAGTGTAGGAAGGAGGCTTGGTCCCAGGGGGAGAAATCATATTTGCTCCCCCTCACTTGCTCCAGCCCCCAGTTATGGCCCTGCCCTCTGTGCTCACCAGTTATGGGGCTCAGCTGGGCACATACTGCAGCCAACACATGTGGCACAGCAGCCTCTGCTGGTCAAAGTGTGAAACTGCTGGCTACACAGACAAAATCTGTAAGGCTGCCTCCATTTCAGTATGAAAGGTCCCTCCCTCCTCCCCCATTCTCTTGCCAAATTGTTAGGGTGTATTTGACCCATAGTCCTCATGGCATTTTAACTAGTCGATTGTCACAACATACAGGCTATGTCTACACTGGCATGAATTTCCGAAAATGCTTTTAACGGAAAAGTTTTCCGTTAAAAGCATTTTCGGAAATTCATGCCAGTGTAGACATAGCCTGTATGCATAAGGCCTAACACAATGGGACGCTGACTTGAGCCTAGGTTCTCCAGCTATTAATAATAACCAATACATTTTTTAAAGTCTCTCATGAAAGTCTGCTTTGATGAGATCTTCAGCCCATCTTTGCAGTCCCAGGAAACTGATCATTTGGACAAGCACAAAGAATTCTGAATTCTTTTCTGAATGGAATGGGCCCTTCTGAGTTCCTCCCATTAAGTCTTATGCATATATAAGATCAAAATGGCTCTAACTTAATGGCATCAGGATGTTTTACATTCTTACGGTACAATGATAATGGAAAGACTGAGGGAAGAGAGGCTAACTAACTTGCCCAAGGAGTCCGAGAAAATCAGTGTAAGAACCCAGGAATGTGTGGCGCCCATGATAGAAATAGATTATGCCTTTGTCTGCACTACCGCATATTAATATCAGAGATAAGGTGCCTCTGCAGTTTTCATCTCATTTTATATGGTTAAGCATTTAACGAAGATAAAATTACACGTTTCTTAAAGTGTACCACTGATTGACAGTACCAAACTGCATTGGATGTGAGGCACGTCATCCTACGATTGTGTCTTCTGTATACCAAGCATTTCCCTTGAAATGTGCGTTTTGAAGATGTACAATACGCAGGAGCTGGTGTTTAATTTACTATTAGCAGAATGCCTTTCTTAACCATTAAGTAAAAAAAGTATTTAACCAGTAAGAAAAAATTACTCCAAATGTTCCTTCTAGCATCAGTAAACATTAGCTCTGTTTTTATTGGTGAAATTATGTTAAGTGCACTCAAAGTATCAATTCATGATACCAGTAAAATCCCTTGAAAATATATAGGTTTCTTCCTTTTCTGCTGCAGTTTATTCTGTTCAACAAACACATGCTAATATACGGAGGGCAGGGCGGGGTGTGAAGGAAAATTCATTTTTCGTAAGTACAGAAGTGAAAATACTTCATTAGAAACATAATTTGCACAACAGAAATAAATAGGAGCGCCACAGACACTGTGGAGTAATGCTTTCTGTCTGCCTTTGCTTCCACAAACTCAGGCAGTCTGCTCATTAACAGTGAATTGGATTTGCATGCCATTTCAACCGCAGAAGAAAGGAACATCATCTGCACCACATCACAAACCCTTAGCTTAGATTTTTTTTAATATAGGGGAGATATTGAGTGAGCAATAAATCTTCCAGATCAACATTGGGTTATTGCAGTTTATTCCATATTTGACACAAGACAGTGGCTTACGCTTTTGTTAAACTTCAGAGCCACTATACACACCCAATGGGAGCAACCTACTTTGTGCTGGCCGTGTGGACAATATAGAAAGGAGATAATCTACGGACATCTTTGGTAAAGTGCCTGTTGTATTTCTTGCAAACTCAGTGTCATTACCAATCCAAGAATTTGGCTTTTGGAAAGTAATATGCACTTCTCTTGTTGAAGTGCCACCCTGGAACATGCATTGTGTCCATCTGAAGAGAGACTACTGTGTCATTATGGGAGAAGAGAGAGGAAAATTTAATGCATTATTCTTTCCATTGCCATCACTACAAACCTGCTTTTGAGTGCCAGGCATTACAGCTGGTTGAAATTGAAAGCTAGGATCCTTTTCATGTAAGAATGTTTCTGTAGAGTATTTTTCATTAACTCATTTTATTATGTGCACTTCCCTCACCACTCGCCACCTGTCTTGCTTCCTTTCATACTTTTCGGAGATTGGGTGGAGGAGGAGAGGGAAAATACCTAAATTCAAATTTATGCAAAAATATCTTAGTGTCTGACACAAGATTCTTCTTTCTCTTAGATATCGTGATGGGCAGGGGGGATGAAAATCATCTGATTCATGCCACTGAGAGAGAAAGAGATTTAGCGAGGAAGAGGGGGAAGGGCTGTAGTATAAAGTGTTTGCCTTAGGACTTGTCTTCAGTTGCAGAGGCAGACTCACATGACTGGAGCTTGGTTTGATGTGGTAATGAAGCATTGATCACAGGAAAAAGATGAAATGGCCTTTGCTCATTCATTATTTTTATCTTCTAGCTGTGGAAGACAGAAAATTGTTCATAGGAATGGTTTCGAAGAAGTGTAATGAGAATGATATCAGGGTGATGTTCTCTCCATTCGGCCAGATAGAAGAATGCCGAATTCTTCGGGGACCTGACGGTCTGAGCCGAGGTGAGTGTGCAGTCTATAAAGTCTCTTTCCTTAAGTGCTAATTGGAGCTATATGTCACAGTCAGGGTAGAGGCAGCCACTGTCTGCAGCTAGAGGTTATGCTGTAATATGTCCCACGTGACGGAGTTACCCACATGAACTTTTCACAGTGACTGAAATTATCACCTTTTATTTCAAATGTCAGAAAGGTCTCGGTGCCGACATATTAACTTGTGTTATCATGCTGTTTGTCAGATTGAAAAGGTACAGTTGAACCCTGAGATAACATCTCCTATTTTCCCTACCACACAATCAGAGATGCACACACACACTTGTGTTTTGTATCAGGGAAAACAAATGGCTGGTTAATAACATGTGGGGCCATGCAAACTGGTCCATGCTTTAGGATCAGTCCCTCTACTCATGCATGCTTTGTAACCATATGCAAAATGTGGCTTTGTATTGCCTCTGGAATAAAGGGGTTAACTCCTAGAGTTGTACCCAGACAGAACTCATGAAGAGAGCTTTCATAGCTCAAGTCCCTAGGTTCAATTAGAGCTAGTGCAAGTGTACCAAACTGCAGTGTATTGTGCAGTCATGTGAAAACCCCGAGTTCTGGACCACATGCCAGATTTTTGCTTTATTGTGTTGGAAATTAAGTGCAATGCAGAGTTTGATACTTTCTCACCCTCTCCCCTTCCCTTAGGTATGCAACAGATAGCATTTTGTACCTGGAAAAGGTTCCTGAAAATATATAATAAAGAGAAAACCAGATTTATATCAATGACCTCTGCTGCATATTAAGCCTTTGTTGCATTGACCTAGAATTACTTAGACAGAACAATCCTTCTCACCAACTAATGACATAAGGAGCAGAGTTGAGAACAACAATGGGCCAAGCTTGTCAGCCTTAGGGGCAAAGTGCCATGAAATCATCTACCACAGTTTAAAGGCACAAAGAGTAAAAACTACTTTACAGTGTGGGGTTGCTAATTTTATTAGAGACATGAAATTCAATCATTCTGGTTTTGGACATTCTCTCCCCCCCCCCCCTATAAAAATGGAAAAGTACATAGGAATCACAGTTTATGCATTTTATTACATTTTCAAAACACCAAAAAATGTGTTTGTATTTTTTTTAACTTCTGGAGCATAATGTTTCTGTTAGACTCTGGTTTCTATAATATGTGAAGCCACTTGTAGGGTTTTTTTAAATTATCCTCTGCAGCAGCTTGTCCACAATGGATAGAAAGTCCATCAGAATAAGTTGGGAAATGGGTGTGAGTAGGTCATCTTCAAAGGTGAAAAGCATGGGCCAGACCATCTCCATGTAAATCACTCACTGAAAAGATGCTCTGTCAATTAATGTTCTGTTTCTAAGCATGGGCCTGTAGTTCTATGGTCTTAGTCTGTGATCTCGTAGCTACGTGACCTTCAAGAAGTTTCATATTCCTGGTTTAGAAGTCTAACTCTAGATATGCTTTAAAAAAAAAAACTTGGCCACAGGAAAATAAACTTTTAGTGGGGAGTTGCTGGATAGCTATTTAAATATTTCGTCTTTGAGTCTTACAAGCGTTATTTGATTCCTCTGCACATTTCAGGGGAGGGGAAAGCCATATATGGGGTATCCAAGCATTCACCACGTCTTAATCAATAGAGGCTTCCCATCATAATGATATTGCAAATCATGAGAGCCTATAGAAAAGGGAAAGATGGGGATATTTTTAGTCCCCAGTAGTTAACAATGACACTCTCCAGCTTAAAAAAAGGGATTGGATTTTGCAGTGTAGCTCACTGTGGCAATTTAAGATTATTGAGGTAGGCTTTCACCCTGGGAGAGAGAAGAGCATGTTCCAGGTACGTCACATTCAAACAGTTATTATAACATATTGACTTGGCAGAGCTATGGTCTCTCTAATAGTAAGGTTTATTCTGATAGTCACACACAATAATGTGATACCAGGTCCTGGTGTTGTCTACCTGTTAAACTTGAATTGTTTTCCACACCCCATGTGACAGCCCAGTTTCCAGGAAGGTGTTTGTCAATGTCACAAAACCACCAGACTGTGAGAGAAAGACAAGCATTGGGAAAGTTCAGAGGGTGGAAGAGCTGGACTGAAATGCTGCAGGAGAACTTTGGGTCGGAGGAATCTTGCGTGGCACAGTCCCAAACTCAGGTTCTTTTAAAAAATAGAAGGAAAATAAATACAATTAAATCCTGCAACAAGATCCAACATTTAAATGGATTCTCATTCATTGTTAATATTTCCAAACATTCAAATTCCCCATTCCCACGCACTATCTTGCTTCTCCTGCATAAGTGCCCCCGGTTCAACCCACTCTTCCAGATGGGAGGTCCCTATAAAGAGAAGATGGATACATGAAGAAGAGCCCAGTGGAGTTGAAGGCTCTGCAGGTCCCTGGGCAAGGGAGTGGCCTGGGTCCGCACTCCCAGAAGGGCGGGGCCAAGGCACCCAGCCCTTAGCGCTGCCTGGAGCACCTGGCATGGTGCTCTGGCAGAGGCGTAAGGGGCCCAGGGCTCCAGCCATGGCTACTGAATCACCAGGCTCCAGAGCAGTTGCCCCTTTTGCCCCTGACCCTGCATCGGTGGACTTGCGAGAGCCACAATCTTGTCTGTCATCTCAGCATGTGCTCATTTTGGAGTGCACCGTTCAGCACATCGGAATGAAAATAAAATCCAAGAGGCTCAACTGGACGATTTCATCTACTTTTCAATTACCAGCTTGCCTTATCAATTAGCAAATTTACCTCAGAAATAAAAATGCATTTACTGGTATTTATGCAGAGTTTGGAGCTATGTAAAATGTGTTAGAGACGAAATCTTTAGCTGCTGACTAGGGTGCTAAACAGAACAAATTAGTTTTGTGCTGTTATTTTTCTCCTCATAAAAAAGGAAAGCTTTCAGTCAACTTTTGGAGCCTGCTCACAGTAGAGTGGCAACACTTTTGTTGCTAGTATAGCCACGTATGACTGTAAGGTTGTAGGGTAGACTTAGCATTATAGTCTACCTCGCAGTTTGAACAGGAAAAAGAATCCCTGTCTACAATAGCAAAGGAAAATATAACACTCTCTGATGAGTGCGATATAAGTGCTTAGATAAGGAGGCAAAGAGAGAGATTAAACTGGTTGTTGCTAGTGTAGTTTCAAGCCAAGAGTAGATACGGTTCTAATAAATTCACACCCATTCTGTCACTACCTTATAGATAAAAGTCCATCCACATTTCCTCAAAATATGTATTGTCAGCTGCTTGAAACTCATGTACAGGTAGTCTAAAGACATCATAAAAAGTCTCAGTGATGAATTAATATATTTTAAATGCCCTTTGTAGTGCCTCTGTGTAATCACTTTATTTCCACTGATGTTTGTTCCTGCAACTGCAAAATGGTTTGTGTTTTTTCATCTGTACCTGGTTTGGCTGCAACTTAAGTATAGTCAGTAGATAGTGACTGATGGCTGTTTCACAGCTCCTGTGAAGTTAATGAGTTGCTGTAGAGCAGTTCCTAGCTGGTTGATGCATGTTTAAGAATGAGAAAACCCAACTGGCTGTCTCAGCATAGAACCCCAGGACTGGAGTATGGAGACAGTCCAGTTCTCTCACTATTACAATTCAGGTTCATGGGGTTGCATAGGAAATTTTGCCAATGCCTTTCCTGTATTTGGAGTCAGCCTCCAGCTTAAACAACTTCTTTTAAAAATTTCTCTTGTTAATGTCCTGCACTACACCCCATTGTCATGTCAAAGCAAAAGTGAACTGACTGGGATGATCAAGATTTTAAGTCACTTATTGCAAAGGGTTTCTAGAAATCGCTGAACTTTTTAGAGAAACTCCAGTATCCTGGTTCCTAGGCCTGAGATCCGTCTACCAGCATACAGCTGCCAAAACAAACAGCAGGGAGCTGCTGGGTAGACTATGCAAATAGTAGCCATAGGATTTGAATTTGATTCCTAGCTCTGACTTGCTGTGTGACCCCAGGTGACTCTCTTTAATCTCTTTTGTGCCTCATTTTTCCCATCTACAGTAAAACCTCAATGCTATGAAGACCTTGGCAATGGAGGTTGTTCATAACTCTGAAATGTTTGTAAACTCTGAACAAAATGTGATGGTTGTTCTTTCGAAAGTTTACAACTGAATATTGACGTAATACAGCTTTGAAACTTCACTACACAGAAGAAAAAGGCTGCTTTTAACCTTCATTTAAGTTAAACAAGCACAGTTTCCTTACCAAATCTTTTTCTACACTTTCCTTTATTTTATAGTAGTTTGTTTAACAACGTATTGTACTTTATTTGCTTTGTTGTTGTTCTCTGCTGCTGCTGCCTGGTTGTGTACTTCTAGTTCTAAATAAGATGTGTGGTTGACCAGTCAGTTTGTAACTTTGATGCTCAAAAATCTAAGGTGTACCTTTGTAAAATGCTTTGAGATCAGTAGGTCAAAATTATTATAATCCTGCTAAGTAGTATTAGTCAATAGTAATAATAATAATTAATAATCAAATCCTGATATCTTTATCACAAGAGCTCCGTGTAGCAAATTACACAGGTATTGCTAAGTACAGATTTATATAACAAACACTGTAGTCGGTTGGGACAAGAGCATGCATTGAAGGAATCTGCTAAATATGTGTGCAGACAATTAGATGTAGCACATGCATTTGATACGGTCTCTAAATGCATGTTGCCACAGCACTATTTTAGATCTACTTTGTCTGATTTCTACATGGCCATATTAAGCAAGACTCACTTAAAATTCTGTTAAAAGTCTGGTAATAAGGAGATTATAATTTAAAGAGCAGATAGGAATGGTGTGGGAATCGTTCCACAATCAGGCAGAAATTCAGCTTTTCAAAATCCGACTCATCCACAGTAAGCAGGGATTGTTGGTTTGTTTGCTTGTAAAAATAAAATGTCTTCTTTTTGTCGGGGGTGGGGGGGAGCGCATTACCACTTATGGTAAAGAAGAGGTGACTAGTTTTTGTGCCTGAAGCATGAGATTTCCGTGC